CATAGCGCTGGCATGAGTAAGGCCGGCGAGACAAGGTGATGGAGGAAGAGTGAAGGAGGGAGGAAGAGAAGAAGAGTTGATAGTGGGGAAGCAGGCCGAGGAAGAAGAGGCAAGGATTACTTACCTGAAGCGTGCGGAGCGTCGTGGAGCATCATCGGCGATATCTTCAAAAAGAGAGAAGCACCTCCTTTCCCTGAACCTGCATGCATGTGTGTGTCCCCTACCTTCTCTCTCTCTGGCCCTCTGAAGGTGACTGCTGCTGATCTGGTCAGAGTCGAAGTCTAGATCTGGATTGTCATAGTTGTCAGGTCTGAGTTGTCAGAGTCTGATGATCCAAGAGTGATGTGTCAGGGACTGGCCATACTAGACTAAGTGGTCCAGTGTTCTGTGAAGTAGGAGTATCTTTCTTCTCCTACCCCTCTTGATAGGCAGGCTGGGAATTGTCATCAAGGACTAAAGAATAGATGTGGGAGTGGCTATGTGCCACGTCAGATAGCATGTACCAGGCAGCATAAGGATGATATTGAGTATCTACAGGGCCTGTTGAGCCCAACAGAAAGAAACATTGGAACAAAGTATTCCTGTCTGGTTGGATAAGTGAACCAATTGCATCTGACCTTCTGCGCTATACTCCATATCTGCACCCAGCAACCAGTCAAGTTAGTACAAAAAAAAAAAAAGGAATATCAAAAACACATTACCGAAGGTTGATCCAGGAAGCCAGACCGCATATTAACAAGTAGTTATTTTAATCTGATTTGTTGATTGATTACCCGCAGCACCTTCTACAGTCAAAAAAAAAAAAAAAAGAGTGTACAAGTACTCCATTGCCACAAGTCTTAGTCAGGTGATTGGGATAGTACCTTGGTGATCCGGTGGAGGACCACCTGTGCTGGCCATCACCATGGATGACTATCCCATCCAGAGCCTCTTGGCTCTTTCTGTTTTATTGGGCCCACTGTTCAGGTTCATATTCCCGCTGGGGTTCGGACGCATGTGCACGTCCCGCATGATGATGCGATCAGGAGCAGTAAAGTTAGGGCCCACACCTGYTGAGCAGGCAGAGATTGACCGCCGGCAGACAGAAAAGAAGAAAGAAAGAGAAGAAAGAAAGAAGAAAAAAGAAGAAGAGTTAAAGAAAAAAGCCAGTTAGAAGAAGGAGAGATGAAGAGGAAGTTAAAGGAAAAGTGGGAACAAGAGATAAAGGATGAATTGCAGACTATTGAGGAAGAAGAAGAAGCTTCTGAAGAAGGGGGAGAAAGATTTATCAGGCGGCGTGCAGAAAGTGGCAAGACAAGTGAGATCCGGGGAGAAGTGTTTGTCAAGCCATTGGACTGGTATAACCAGTATTCTTATTCCAGTGAAAAGTTAGAAGAAACAGAAGAAGAACGAGACACATTCATAGCAAGGCTAGCATTAGTAACAGATCAAAGGGAGAGAGAACTGATGCTGGAAGAAAAACGCACTGAACTACATAGCAAAATG